GCTAGCTTCATCATAACTTTGAGACAACATTTCAAAACACGAAGGAACTACTGAGTAAAGCTAAGTATCCCCATTTGGCTGGAGGAGGAATGAATGGGGGAACCTTTCTGTGAGGAAAATTCTACCCAGGATGTTTTCCACTCTGCTGAGTACACAAGATGAGGAAATTCACTTAAGCCAGGTTTGATCATCCATACACCTGTCAAAAGATCAGTAAAGAAGATCTGGGGTATTAGTTTCACAGCGAGCAGCTTCTCTGACAACTGTTAGAATTTACACTACTTCAAAATCACATGAGGCTGTTATGTTTTTAAATATCTGGAGAAGTAAACTGGATAAATTTAATGTTTTTCCTTGAAATTTAAAAACTTTCAAAATCAATGTTATAATTCTGTACATTGTCTCTATTTTTTCATCTTTACAGCAAAGAAGGAAATAATTTTAAACAACTGAAAACAAAGGGAATGTCTCTTTAACTCTCTGAGAGCTCTCCATTTAAAAGTTATTTATTTAGTTTTTTAGAGCTTTCAATTTTGAATTTGGCACGATTTAAAAAAAAAAGGATTACACTTCTTAAGCATTTAGTGAAGTCAGATGCCAATCGCACTAAATTACTGCAGCTGGGTGAAAAAACTTCTTTTTCTGGAAACAATTGCTAGCACAGTGCCTGAGGCACAGTAGAGCTCAATAAATATTTATTGAATGAATGGATGCATTTCACGCTTCATTTGAGGCACATAATAATGAAGCGCTTCATTGCTAATGGTGAAGATCTGCAGTGTGTTAATGTTGGCCCAGTGCTTCAGGGCGGCACTGCGCCCCAGAAAGAGGCTGATTCTGAGAGGGGCCATCAGTTCAGAGTCTGCATCCTGAGAAGCAGTGTCGGGGGTCTTACGCTCATGCATCCCCTGGAGAGGACAGGGTATCATTCTCGATTCCGAGACAGACTCTATCTTCAGAGAAAGGCTGATTTTCTACTGCCCGTTATTGCCTCAAAACTGTTTAAGATATTTTACTCAACACCTTATCAAACTCATCTGTTTGGTCATTTTCTGGTAAAGTGTTTTATTACAAAATATTTTGACTTTATTCTGAAGTGTGTATTTAACTATCAGATCTAGAAACCTGCCTATCTGAGAGCTGACACTAGAAAGAGGACAGAAAGTCTCTATAAAATACAATGGGAACAAAAGACGCTAGGTCCTAAAGAGAGGGTGGGTTTTTTTTGTTTGTTTGGATGGCAAAGGTGTCAAAGGTCAAAGATGTTCTTTCTGCCTGTTCAAAATGCAGATTCTTAAACGGGCAAAAGGTGGAAATATCCCCAGGCCCTGAATAAAGAACATGACTTATCAGAAACCTGGATCAAAATGAGCCAGGGGTGGATTTAGGTTCACTTCCTATACCAAGTCAGTTCATTATAGTGGCCACTGGAACCTTGCTGGTAGGGATTCTGAGGTTGCATCCAAACTAAGGCAGAGAGATTCTGGAGGGTGTGGCCCAGAACAGGCATTTGTAACAAGCTCCCTAAGTGAGTCTTTACACACTAAAATTTAACCTGTAGCAAATAGTTACTTACTGTGTATACATGACCACTCAATTTCATACCTATGATAAATGTTAATGGGGCATTTACTTTCCAATAGGCACTTGTCTAATTATTTACCTAAATCATTTAATATTTATCATAATTCTATTTTGCACATAAGTAAACTATAAAAAAACAGATTTTTGTAACTTGCTCAAAATCATAGAGTTAGTAAATATCAAACTAGGAACTAAGGCAAGGATTCCATCTCCAGAGCTGCATTCTCTACTATAGTCCAAAGTAGTGCTTAAAACTTAAATAACTTACATGTGAATCGGGCATTACTTTCTACTGAGTAATCAAGATTGGCCTCTTTGGGCAAGGTTCGTCAAAAACATGCTAATAGTTATTTCAAAGATATCTCAGGCATGAAAATATAAGAAAGTTACAAAGGAGGCAACAAGCAGTTAAAAAATTGGGAATTCAAGAGGGAGCTAAAGATTAGGGGAATTAGAGCAGGGAGGTTAGCATGGAAGGGCAGTAGAAACACCTTAGATAAATAAAGAAAATCTGTACTTTTTAGTGGTCCAAATTGAAAAACAAAACCAACAAGTCATAACTAGGAACATTTAAATCTCAAGCCACTTGAGAAAAAGACTCCAGCTAGACACAAGGTTTCACAGCTGGCAACAGCCTAATACTATCTCTAAATTATCTAACAAATTTCCTATAGATCTTGAATTTTCATTACTTCTCAAGCCCAGTACATAGTCAAGTATGTTTGGAAGTACTCAAGATGACACACTTTGAGATCTATCATGGAAAATGTCTTATAAAGAAGGACAAAATTTCAAAGTCCATAATTTTAAATATGAACTTTTAGAAGACAATAATGATGATGAATTCAATAAAAAACACAATACCTAACTTTTTTAAGGGCTTACCAACTCAAATACTGTGCTAAATGATGTAAACAGACTAGCTTATGTATTTTTTATTACAACCTATGAGTTAGCCTCAAGTTCCTGAATACTATACCATGTAAACCACAGAAAAAAGGGTATTTTTTTCCTTATGTAGTTATGGCTATAATGTCAGAAAAAAAACCAGTGACAGTTAGGAATATTAGAATGTTACCATCAAATGGTCTTCAGGTAACAGTTTAAAGGCACAAAATTTCATGCTTTTTAGGAAGAGTTTATGGGGTAGGGGGCAGAGTAAATTTACATATGGATGTTTAAAATGGTCTTATTTCAGTAACCAAATAGCTTATAGACCACATTACTAATTATAAAGGACAGCCGGATACTGCAACATCATAAACCTTCTCTGGATACCACAGGGGATGTAAATTCTTCTGAAGCTGGCTCAGTACCCCAGGGGAGACAAACTGGGTATTAACCACAATAGAAATGTGTGTTTTATCACTAAAAGAGACAAAGGGGAAGGGAGGTAGACCTACGAATAACAAGACTGAGGCTCTTGTAGAGGTTCTGCCTTGACTAGCTTTATAACTGTGGGTAAAGTCACTTCTTCTTACTGGCTTTTTCAGTTAGAAAATGAGGTGGGCAGATCCGTAAGATTCCCTTTAAAATGTTATATATAATTCAACATCCTAAGAATATGACTTTTACAGCAACTAAGGAGATCCATGTATGGATAGCTACAGGCTTTGAGCAAAGAAAAATGACCAGGTGAGAAATGATTCCTCCCAAATATTAAGATGTAAGAGGTTTGGTAAACTCTGCCCAGCTACCAAAGTGCCTTGACACCTACAATCTCAAACTTACTCAGAAAGTCTGCCAGGTGATCAAGGTTTTACAACTCTAATTTTCACAGGCAGAGAAATGGGTAGTTGAATTAGTTTCCCTTTTCACATGAGACTAGATCCAGATTACTGCTCCTGAACAGGGTATGTGGAATCTAATTTTCTACCTCCAGGGCAAAACAATCACATCTTTTGAATTTTGGAGCTATTACTTCTTCCAAGTAAAGGTTTCAGAAATAAATAATAAAATATTTCAGTCCTTACTTTGTCATCTTGGAAATAATTTCTTTGTGTACTTAGAAATATATATTCATAATTTATTTAATCACCTATTCATTCATTAAATAAATACTGCATTTACTGTGCACTTAGTACTGGTCACATGGCCAGTGCATGGGTGCTACATGTGTGTGCACACATACACAGAGCCATGTATCTTTATTCCAAAATCCACTATAAATTTATAAATCCACTATAAAGAGGATAGGTCTTAATACAGGGTTAAGCAGATAAAAGATGTTTGGTAAATACCTGTCAAATACTTTCAAATGTGACCTTAAGAAAGGAAAAATATTTTAAAGCGATTATCTTAAAACTGTAAAGAGATGCCATAAAAACGCTTTGTCATAAAACTCACTTATGATTATTATATTCCATATTAGTAAAAATACAGCTCAATAAAACTCTGAATATATGCAACCAGGTATGGGGAAGGAGGATACAAACGTTTTAATAAAAGGTTTGTTCTTAATGAGTTTGTAGTACCATTTGATGCACACAGTAATTTCTCAAAAAAAGTTCAAATGCCAGGCTAAATAACAAATTCAGGAAAAGGCATAAAATTGTGTGACGTTCAAACTGTGATCATATCTGGAGAAAAATTAGGAAAGATGCAGTAGTTATTACTTTTGAGTGCTCTGAGTACTGTTCTAAGCATTTTACATGTGTTAATTCATTTAATCCTCACCTAACTCTGTAATGTAAGAACTAATAATGTTACACATGAGGAAGAGAAATCTGAGGACTATGTTTTGAAGGACACGTACAGGATTTTGACTAAAGAAGGAAACCCCAAGCAAGATCATGCAGGGTGTGCCTGTGGCCCAGAAGAAAACTGGCCTGGTACAGGTGTAGGGGCTCCAGGTGACACAGCTGGTCAGCTGGTTGGGGCCATGATGGGAAGGCTTTCTCTACAGTCTGCAATTCAGGAGACTTCGGGGATCAAAGATTCAAACAAGTAACATCATAAGGACTGAACCTGAGTAAAACTAATCAAATAAGTGGATTAGAGTAAATGGAAAATGGAAACAGAGACACCAGTTGGGCCTCCACGTGGAATGGTTTAGGCAAGAAGTAGAGCATGCAAAGAGAAAGGGGATGAAGAGGTGCTGTGGATTCAACAGACTGAAGAAGGAGACTGTGTGTGACTTTACAACTGATAACAAGCAGGGTATGAAGAAGGAGAAGACAAAGATACCTGGTGCCTTCAAATCTAGCTAAATGGGATTAAATCCATTATCAGGAACCAGTAAGTAAACCTTACCACATGAACCTTCAGGAAGCTGTTCTATAAATTCACACACGCACACACACACACACAATCCATTAGTATGCAATATTAGAAAAAAATTAATGACAACAAGAATCTGAAGTTTTAATTCATACTAATTAATAACACGAAACACAATGCATATAAAACAATCTTACCCCTTTGCTGTATTCACTATCTGAATCACTGCTAAGTTCCTCAGTGTTCATAATTTCCAAATCAGATTCCCCAGGTGCAATTGGCACTGTCACGGTGAGGCTGGGATTATGAATAAATGATTGACCATCACTTTCTTCCATCAAGTATTTGTCCACACTGTTTCCAAAACCACTGGTTTTATCTTTCTCTTTGTGGAAATGGTGATCCTTGCTCATTTCAGCGAGCGTGCGATTAGAGATGAAGTTCTCCTTCTTACAGTTTAGATCTGCTCGTCTTATCTCTTTGGAAACCTTTGGCTTTTTGGAAAATGCTTTTAAGATAAATTCACGTAAGGTTTGTTTCACATAATTTATTCCCTTCTTAATTCTGGCCACCGCAATCTGGAGGTTGTTTGCATCGGTGTCTTCTTCAATTGCTGTAAGATTGTCTGAACTAAATGAGCTCAATAATAAAGCAAGAAATAGGTTGAGGACCTACATCAGGGTGGGGAGAGGGTGTGGAGAAATAGGGAGACAGGAAATAAAAAAAAAAGTAAGTGCAGTCTTCTGAGGCACAGCCAAAACCCAAACCAACAATGAAGAGCCCATAGATAAGAAGGTGTCGTGGGGGCAGAGGAGAAGCTAGACTCCTCATCAGACTCGGTATCTGAGCTTCTGTGAAGTCTGGGGAGCAGAGGGCAGCCACACCCTTAAAGGGCCAGCATGAGGAGCAAAACGGATGTTCCCTCACCATTATCATGATGTCACTCCTAAGGTCATTTCTGCAGCAGAAATCCCTTGTCTAAATCCCTTTTATGGGCCTAAAAAGCCCTCCTAACATTTACCTTTAATTTTGTTACCTGAGAGAAAAAAGCAGAACAAGAAAACTGTGACTGGTGCTTACTGTGCTTCAGGTAACTTAAGCCAAGATCTGTGTTCACTTTTCCCAGGAGAGAAATGTCACTTACTGCAACAAATGGAACATATAGTACTTGCAGAGCTCTGTAATAAAATATTCTGTCCAAGAACTGTGCCAACTTGCAACTTAATGAGGCTTTCAAAGCGAAGAAAAAGAGCTGCCCATTGAACTCAACTGAAATGAGAAAATGGCACTATGATTGGGTGGCTTCATTGCCAATCATTTTGGCTCTAGAAGAGATTATAAAAGAGGTCAGGGCAACTCCTATTCTTGAAGCAAAACCCTATTTGTGTGCAAAACCGTTTCTGTTCTTCCTCTTGGTGCTAAGGGTCCAGGTGAACTGAATATTGTTTAAAAAAAAAGAATTCTCACAGAGGGCTAAACATGTGTAAATTATATTTTAAAATCATTTTATATAGCAAACAAAAAGATAATAATTGAAATACCTTTTCATGTAAGTTTCTTCATGGCCAAAAACATCTATCTCATATTTAAACAAACAAAATTAGACCAAACTGAAAAAAAGGGATTCAACCCCAATTCTGGTCAGACCTAAAACAATTTTTCAGAGATGTAAGTAGAAAAGTACAGGTTAAAAATGTCTATGTTAATATATCTGATTTAAGAGAACAATCTGAGGGGGATGGGAAAGAAAATCACAGAAAACAATTTCATGAATCATTAAGGAATTCTGGAATTGTTTATTTTCATTTTGGTCTTTATTGTCAATGAAAATAATATTACACTATGAAATATATGTTTGTTTATGTGTATATTTTAATATGACTGTTGATGAGAAGCCAAGAGTTCATTTTACCGTTAGTCTCCCTAGTCAATGCAAGTGTTAATAAACTTTTTTTCTTTAATCTTGTAATTACATATTTTTTCCCCGCTTCATTAAGATAGAACTGTCATTTAATATTGTATAAGTATAAAGTATACAACATGATTTGATATGCTTATATATTGCACAATGATTACTACCATAACATGAGGGAACACCTCCATCATGTCTCATGATTACCATTATTTTTTTGTGGTGAGAACATTTAAGTCTACTCTCAGCGAATTTCAAGTTTGCATAGGGGCTACAAGGACGAAAAAAATTAGCAACTTATTTCCAAGCCAGTGGGAGGTGAAGGTACTAACCCTGTGGCTGTTACCAAAGACAACTGCCTAGGGTAGTTGATGAGGAGTCTGATGCCAGGATGACTATACCAAGCCAACATGGTGGCTTTGAAAACTGAAGTGAGTCACTGAAGAGCATCTTATCTCAAATTTCTCCTGCTTGTAAGCTTGAAAATTCCTACCAACAGGAAGGTATAAGAAAGAAGGAAACAAACAAGAGAAGGCGTACAAGCCAAGAAAACACTAATGGAGAAGTAGATCACTTGTAAGAGATGCTATAGAGCAGTGGTAGGCAAACTTTTTCTGTAAAGGGCCAGATAATAATGATTTAGGCTTTGCAGAACACAGACTGTCTATGAAGACTACTCAGCCCTGCCCATGTAGAGTAAAACAGTCAAAGACAATATGTAAATTATTGAGCAAGTCTGTGTTCCAATAAATTCTGCTTATGGAAACTGAAATTTGAATTTTCATAGAATTTCCATGGGCCCCAAAATACTATTTTTCTTTAGATTTTTAAAGCTATTTAAAAATGTAAGAACAAAATTCAGTTTTGCAGGGCCCTACAAAAACAGGTGGCATGCTGGATTTGGCCCATGGGCCATGTAGTTTGGTGACACTTGTTACAGATGCTAATCTTGTATGTGACAGTAATGCAGCAGGAATAGTCCTCTCACTTGCCTTGTTCCATTATAACTTCATTTTTGTTACTGTTAATTATATCTGATTTACTAGTATACTTCATATTTGAATCGATGTTTAACAAATATGAAAACCACAGATTTAATTCAGATGACATCATTATCAAAATGAGAGAATAAAGTACAAAATTTTCCATTAAAATAAATATTGTGAAAATATAAATCTGGGTTATCTGAAAATTAAGACAATATTTGCTTTTCTGTTTGTCACTGAATTAAGATGGCCACTATTCTATTATAGTTAATAGTTTTAAATCGAATTGACTCTATTATAAAAATAACTAATCATATAACAATTTTCTATGAAGAATTTTAAATGTATGAACATCTGATTACATACCACTAGGTTTCCAATCACCATGACCATCATGTAAACAATAAGGCACATGGCTTGACCGGCGACCTCCATGCAGTCCCACATGGTCTCTATCCACTCTCCACACAGAACCCGGAACACAATCAGGAAGGAGTGGAAGAAGTCATTCATGTGCCAGCGTGGGAGTGTACATTCTTCACTGATCTTGCAGACACACTCTTTGTAGCTCTTACCAAAGAGTTGCATGCCAACCACAGCAAAGATGAAGACGATGATGGCCAACACCAAGGTGAGGTTACCTAGAGCTCCCACTGAGTTACCAATGATCTTTATCAGCATGTTCAGTGTTGGCCAAGATTTTGCTAACTTGAAAACTCGGAGCTAAAAGTAAACACAAAGCTTGATATTAATTGTTATGAAAAAGTTCTCAATATTTCCAATCTTAAATCTTGTTTCAGAATTTAGTTCTAAAATATTGTTATGATTACCTGGCTGAAATTGATTATTTCTATTTTTCATTTTCATCTATTCTCAGTACTCCTGTTATTCTATTATTGCCACTATATAATTACCACACATATTTTGAAGGAACTGTAATTTCAGTTCAGCATTGCTATAGAAGCCTCTAATTATGGTATTATATCCTTTAGAATTGGTAATTTATCTTTAATTCTATTTTCTGATACTTTGATAATTTTTTTCATGCAGACACAGGGAGAAAGCCCAACATGTTAGAGGAAAATGCGTTGAAAAGTCTTTACTTTTTAAGATTTTTTGGTATCAGACAACAATTTTGAGGGGACAACAATTTGATCTTTTATTATCAAATCCACAAAGTAATGAATACATTATAATGGTTGAAATTCTATAAACCATAAGCTTCTTATTATGAAATAAATTATTGCCCTACCATTATACTAGCATATACAACTGAATAGGTCTTCGAGATCCTAAAATTAAAATATTCATGTGATTTTGAGCTCTTTAAGTGCTTTTGTTATTGAATGAACTTTATTTTACTAGATATCAAGACCTAATCTTGTCTTTTGATTCAAACCTCCAAAAGTTTTAAAGAATAATAATGCAAAACCAAAGAAATACCCCTTTATATATAGAATATAATGGTAAGGTTGGTCTATATTTACCAGTCTGAATGATCGTAGAACTGACAATCCTTCCACATCTGCTAGAAAAAGCTCCACTAAGCTTAAAGTCACAATAAGGCTGTCAAAAATATTCCATCCTACTTGGAAATACTCATATGGATCCATGGCAATCAGTTTTAAAACCATTTCAGCTGCAAAGATGCCAGTAAAGACCTATGTAAGAAATAACAATGTTTTTCTAGTATTATTAGAGGGTATGGAATCAGCCTGATGATGATAATGACTATCTGTTTAGCATTTACTGTATTTCAGACAGTGTGCTAGATACTTTATAAATGTATATTACTATCTAATTTAATCCTATAAACTAAGTGTCATCATTCCTATAGCTCTAACACCAGCACTTAAGGGTTAACAAGCTCTAACTCTCTTGTCAGCTCTCATCACCTTTAGATAGCACTTCAGAAGAGTATATTACAATTCCAGATAAATAAAACCTTTGAAAATTAATATAGTTACTCTTTGCAAAATATTTCTGCGGGTCAACAAGTTATTTTGGAAGAAAATAAAAAGGAAACAGATTGATACTGAAATTTTGAGCCAGTCTCCCCCCCCCCCCCCCGGGTTGACTACTTTTAGAGTAAAGGAACATGTTGACTCACAATTTATCAGTGGAAGACGAAAAGGTATTTAATTGACACAGTGGCAGCTAAAGTAAGACTTCCAAAGCTTTGACACAGAAGTGCATCACAAAACATCATTAATTTATGACATGCCTTCAGAGGACTCACTTAAAAAGGCGACAGTGAAAGACTTATGAATCATTTGGGTACAATTTGATTCAAAGAAACTGACCAAAGAAGGTTCAGGAGGAAATGTTTAGCTCTATAACTGTGTGAGTCATTTTTTAAATAATGCAGCATTAAGAACACTAGCGGGGAACACCCAGACTTGGGATTGTAGTGATAGATAAGAAACATGGTGAATCTTTATTGGATTCATGGTGATGCAGTCAACTCAGTGAGAAGGTACTGATTTTCATGATCTGGACATCCACCAACAATAAGAAACTAGAAAGTCCTGCCTTTTTCCAATGAGGAATAGAAAGAAAGAAAAATGCTGACTCAGAGCGCATGAGTTTCAAACATCCTGACTGGGAATATTCATAAGAAATTTGGGAGAGAAGATCGACTTAGAAACACTCTTTGACTTCAAGATCAACTGGTTTGGGGCCACGGCAAAAATTAAAATTACTTTATACAGGCATTCACAAAGACATCCAGAGTTATTCATGACCTATGCAGAGTCATAAGCTGGGAACTTTCTGCGATGAAATAGAACTTCTGCCTGCTTTATGCAGATTGTCGGCAACTAGCACTCTCTGTTTGCCATAGGCATTAATTTAAGCTAGAGTCTGACACTGCATGTTTAAGAGATCACTCTGGCGTTAACTTTCCTAACAGAATCCTTTACCTTCATGAAGCCTACAGATCCCTTCTATCTGCCCCTATATTTTCTATGTCTAGTTTAATCATTTTGGTTTCTCAATATTCTTGTTCTTAAGGGTTGTTTCTGCTGATTCACTGAAAGCATGATGATAATGATTGATGATGATGGTGATGACAATAGGTTTAATTTGTTGAGTACTTACTATATGCTAAGCTAATAAGTAGAACGTGTTTATTCCTCTCAATAATATGATAAATAAATATTATTATCATTATATTATAAATAATAAGTATCATTTTATAAAGTGTTAGTATTATATAAATGAGAAAATTAAAGACTATCGACATTAAAACATTCTTTCAAGGTCATATAATCAGTAAGAGGCAAAACCAGGATTCAACCTCAGGACTTTGCTCTATGGTAGAGCACATGCTTAGCATGCACAAGGTCTTGGGTTCAATCCCTAGTATCTCCTCTAACAAAAAAGTGTCGCTGGTAAGAGACATGCTGGCAGGAAAACACACTATCAGCTCCCAAGATGGTGACCCATTATGGAAACAGTATTGTTATTTATAGACCTCAATACTACTGCAAAATAATTTTAAAATACTATCTATTACCAGGAACTTGACTCTGCACAAAATGATTCATACTGTAAATTCTGGATATGCATAATTACCTAGCTATATATCCATCTGACTTTAAAAAAAAAAAGAAATGACAGCCATGATAACCGAAGAGAGAAGCTCTGGATACATAAAACACGTTAAGAGACTTACTAAATTTCCCACAGTGAGCACGTTTTTGAATTCATCAGTCATTGGGTGATGTTCCATAGCCATGAACAAGGTGTTTAAAACAATGCAAATGGTAATAGCAAGATCTACAAAAGGATCCATTACAATAAAGTAGATAACTTTTTTGAATTTTATCCAATATGGAGAGCAATTCCAGATCAAGAATGTGTGTGCAAATCTGTACCACCAAGGTGGACATTTCTGTCTGGACTCTTCAAGTTCTGGGAGGAAAAAACAACATAGACAACATGAAGTCAATCATTTGTCTATTGCATATTTTATTCCTAACCAGATACAGATCAGTAGTACACTAACATTGAAACAAGTCTCCTGGTTTAGACTTTGCAAATTTAACAGTTACCGTTTCTATGAAAGCATCACGTGTAACATAAAAATCTTACATCTCATGTCCATTTATTGGATCAAGCATAAGGAGAAGGCAATGAAATTAATGAATGAAAGCAGATATGAGTATCTCTGAGAGAAACACGCATTTCACACCTGACGGTAAACAAGAGAACTGATGTTTTCTTAATGGAGATACATATTTTTTTAAGATAAATGTACATATACCAACATACATACTTTCCTCTGTGTCTTTAATCCCATTACAATAATAACACATTTCCACTCCATCCACCAAAAAGCTTTTGCTAGTTCATAGGTGAAAACAATCCCCAAATGAAGAACCTAGAAATAATTTATGGAGTGACTCATGCAGTAGGTATTACGTACCATTAGCATATTTACTTCTCATCATAAATTTAGGAGGTGGGTAAAAATTTTGTCTGGGCCCATTGTGGGTGTGTAGGGGGATGAGGTGGTAGCCCATGGACAAGGTGGGACCTGGGACAAGTTGTGGGGAGAGAGGGTGGGAGCCAACACATTCTTTAGATTGCCACCCTTTGACTCTCAATGTATCTTGGGATCTGACCACTACTATTGACAGCATATTCTCTAAAGATGCCTTTGCATCATTATCTTTACAGATATCAAGTCACATTTTACAATTTCATAGAATGTACTAAAAGGGAGCAATTTATAGACATCTGCAGGTTTGTATTATTTTCTTGCATACTAGAAAGATGATCAATTTGGAGTGACCAGGTGAAATTTCTAAGAATATATAGTGGGAGAACCACATAGCCCAGGATTAACCTCACTTTTTTCATTTAGTACCATAAAGCTGTTTATCTTTGAAAGGTCATATCGCCCAAAGCCTGTCTTTAATCAAAAATAACTTTCTCCACTTTTTAAGCAGATAAAGACAATTCCCCCAGCATCCATTGGTTATCCTTACCATTGCTTATAGTCATTTTATATTCTTTGAGATCTTCCTAAGAACTTGCTGTATCTATTTAAGGCTGACCAGGACTTACCTGACTTTTGTTAAAAATCTACATGGTAATGAGAATATCACTCCATACCTTCCACAGTGTTTGTTAATATGCTGGCCCTGCTCATTGCCCTTTTTCTGAGATTGGGATCATTCAACATATCTTCAGAAAGAAGATAAGAACTGGGACGTCTTTTCTTGTGTATTTGATTAGTTGCACCCTGAAAAAAAAAGATAATTAATTATAGTTCTAAGAATGGAATTCTAACAAATTGCAGGCATAAAATAAAATCTTGCTGATGTAGTTGGAATGTGTAATTAAAAGCAAAGAGTAGACTGTTGGTTTGAATCATGGCTCTGCTACTGACTGGCTGCATATGGTAGGAGAGTTACTTAACCTCTGTCTCCACTCCATCATTGGTAAAATGGGGACAGTCACAGTACTTGCCTCACAGTCTTGCTATGAGGATTAAATGAATCAATACTTAGGAAATAAAAAATAAAATCAGCTGCTTTCATTGTTATTATCACTGTCATTATCTCTCTATCTTTCTGGACAGTTTTACCATCTGAGAGTCCTATGTGAGAACAGTTAAGCAAGTGTTGTAATGGTATGTGCAGAGGGTTAGAACCTTTACATTTTCTGATAAATTTCTGTAATTACTCTTTGTGGAGGTAAAAGCCCATAAGAAGGCCAGAATGATTGCTTTTTACTGCCAAGGAATATCTCATCAACTGCTCTGAGTACATGAGGACTCAGTTTGAAAAGGACCATTAATACAGGGGAACTGTCACAAAATGGAGAATGTAAGCTCCATCTAACAGAGGTGACCACTCTCCAGCTCTAAAGGATTGCTGCCATGCAGGAACACGAGCTCAGTCTTACCAGGCACACCCATTTTTAGGTGAAGATGTCTCATTTCTATATCTTGGCAACTAATTCAAAGTTAAAATACTATGCCAGTTCTGGGCAGGCCAATAATACACACACATGTGTGATCACACACATATATACATACATACAGCCATACAACTCTACATTTATCATCTATCTACTTGTGTATAGTATGTACATAGGTATGTATACACAAACACACACCATTTTATAAACATATATATAGATACACAGATCAAGAGTTGCAAAGTTGTTTAAATATAATCATATAGTCATATGATTAAAAGACAAATGGATGTAAATGTGCTCATGTGTGTACATACATATGTGTGTATGTACATGTGCAGAGACACACACACACACATATCTGTCTGTGGCTTTTACAGAGATCTCTCTATAACCTTGCTTTCTCTGACACACTCTCTAATTCACTGACTTTCCCAAAACAGAGATTTCTTTTCCCACAAGTCAAACAATCAACTATGTTGATTAAATAAATTCTTCTCCATGCAGACATATCTCAGGTGTCAGAGTTATATTATTTGTCATGCAGATTTTTCATCTAAACTGTACATTATTCCACACTATTATGTTTTGCATTTCTACTGAATCTTGAAGTATTTACTCATTTCTCCAGTTCTGTAGTTTAAGTGATACTGATTTTTCTGTGGTAAAAATAAGGCTTTTTTAAAGTTATTATCCTCAATCTTATTTTTTAAATAAAAATAAAATATTAAATAGTATTTCATTTAAAAATAGGAAATAATCTCCAAATCTGATATGCATTATACAGTTTTTTACAGATAATATAAATTGTTGAAAAGCAAAACACAACAAAGTTCTGATTCCATGGAAAATTAACATGCTCATTTGATAAGGAAGCTCATTTGACAGAGGGCTGAACTGACGTCATGCAAGCATAGAGGTTACACGTTACCTAAAAGCACATGCATTTATTCCAAAGGAAACATGTCTGTGGCCATGGCTTTGATGAAACTTTATTCTCACTTGAACTACTATGTGGTCTGCAAGTGTGAATATATGAATGAGTAGCATGAGTTCAGAGCTTGTTAGGTTAGGCTGAGCCTTGCTGATACTGAGTAATGCATGTAATACAGAGAGTGGCCTTAAGACGTAACCTAGAAACTCCAGAAACCAGAAAGAGCTCACTTTCCAGCCTAACCAGACCCTCTTCTCTAACCACTCAAGGACTCCTAAACTCTTGAAATTGTAGTTTTGGAAGTGTTTTGTTTTTGTCTTTATGTGAATGTTTGCATTACTGTATGTGTTTTGGATATTATTATATTTTTATTCATTGATTCCAGACAAAAGAGTTTTGATTTTTTTAATGAAAATAGGTTTCATTTATGTGTGGGAAAAAACACACTTATTCTAAATTATTTCCAAGTTAAGAAGTCTACCACACACTGGACAGAAAGTGTGATGGTTAAAGGTACAAGCTCTGAAATAGAGGGTCTCTGTTTGAACTTTAGGACTACCATTTATTAGCTGAGTGGCCGTTACACCAATGGCTTCATTTCCCTGTGCCTCCGTTTTCTGATTTGTAAAACAGGGATAATAATGTATCACCTAACTGCCCTGCTGTAAATACTAACATGTTTGCTATTATTATTAACTCAAACAAGATCCCTTGCCATGAGGTATATATTAAGTAGTGACTTGAAAAAAATAGCAGGAGGTGACAAATAATCCAAATTCCCTTACAGACATCGGACTGAATGATCAACTAATAAGATCAGCATGTATCCATGCTTTTCTGTGCTCATATATACATCTTTTTTTTCAATTTTTATTTTTTGAGTTTTTGTTTGTTTGTTTGTTTTGGGGGGAGGTAGGTAGGTTTGCTTATTTATTTTGGTGGAGGTAGTGGGGAATGAACCCAGGACCTTGTGCATGCTCGGCATGTGCTCCACCACTGAGCTATACCCTCCCCCCAATATACACATCTTTTATAAACTGTTTTCTAAGGGATGATTTATAATCTTGAGGTATAATATCAATAGACAAGTATCTTTTCTCAAAAATGGGGTTTTAAATATCTTTGAATGCAACACCTACAGCACATACTATGAGTATTAATCGGTTAAAGGTGTGTTTCTCACATAAAAAATAATTAGTTTTTTTTGGTTTGTTTGTGTGTTTGTTTGTTTTCTAGTATTTTTAAGTATCATAAGTAGTTCTAAAATGAAAAGTACTGCAAAATGCAGAGCCATTCACAGGACCAGGGAGAAGGCCCCTCCCGCAGAGACCGACTGATGCAAGAGTAAGGGCGGAGCCATGCCTGAGCTATTTAAAACGTCCTTACGCTGTCATCAGAAGTTGCCTTATCTATTATCACCTCTGGCAGAAGCTGTCCATTAGGGAGCATGAGGGCTGCAGGTCCGTCAACCAAGGAGACCACGCCGTTGCAGTCGACGGCGCTGTGCATCTTCCCGTTCACCGGCAGCACCGGGGGGGACCTACTGGCCTGACTGATGCTGCTGCTGCGCCGCTCCCGCGGTCTGTGGGGCACGAACAGAGAGCCCCTCCTGCTCTCACTGTCTCCGAAAATGCTGTGCTCATCGTCGGCAAATTCAGTCTCAGATCCAATATCTTTTCCTCGACCTTTGAAACTAAAAAGGCTTGTTCTGCTGCTGCGCCTCGCGGAAAACAAGGAGCCGCGGATGCTGAGCGGTGACTGCAGGAAAAAACAAAACACGGCATATCTCTGCTAAAGCACCTGAAAACAGGTGTGCATTTCACACAGCCACCACTGGGACCACCGGCCTGAGGGCAGGCGGCTCTGTACTGGTTTAAGAGATACAAACTGAAAAACAAAGAAATTCCGTAAGAAGACAAATTCTTCCAAGTAAGGAATGAAAACACTTGGGTTCACCCTTTCAGGACCAGGCACCTTATTTGTGGCGGTACAGCTCTCTACAGTTTTGGCCTAGAGTCATCCCTCCATTCTTTCTGTACCATTCATTTTGCTGTAAAGAACATATCACTTTAAAAAGAATTTGATATTGATACCTGTTATTACGCTTTTCATGTATCAATCCTTATGTTCCATAAGTACTGAAATTTTCAGGCCAAAGATCACACTGCATGCATCTTTGCATGCCACTGCCTGCAACTCTGCCCTGCACACTGAGGGCTCAGTTAAGGTGTGTTAAGAAAGAAGATCTTTTAACACTAGTGAATGTACCAAGTCATAAAATATTAGAACTTGGAAAAGAAGTTGCCCAATACCAAAGCGGGGGGGGGGATCACATTCATATGACTCAGGTCCAAGATAAACTGTGTCCATTAACCGAACAGCATAATCTTTGGAAGTATCTAACTGCATAAACGTTAGTGCTTCCTATGTAAAGGACAAAGCAGAAGGCGTTGTGAACAAGGGAAAATGTGTATGACAATGCCTTTACCTTAGAATTAGCTGGGACCACTCCTGTCATATTTCTTTTAATTGGTATCATATGTACTCAAGTTCTGTCTCCCCAACCAGATCATGAAATCTTTGAAGGCAGAGACTCCTTTATTTTTGTGTATGTCTGGTGGGGTCTTACAGACTTAAGTAGCTAGAAATTTTAAAAGAAGACATAGATGACAAGGACAGTAATTCTGAGTGGGAGACTGAGGAGCAGACTGAGAGGAGTGGAGAGAACACAGGCAACTTTGTGGCTGGGTGGCACCTGAGCTAATGGGTGAAGAACCAGTGGTAATACACTAGGGGGAAAACAAGCAAGGAAAGTCATCCCACTTAGAGAAATACATGTGTACCGAGCAGTAAAGGGATGAAGATAAAGGGCACGGAGGTGAGAGTGACAATCGTGGGGTCTGAGGGAAGCTGAAGGTCCAGAAAAGTGGCAATGAGGCTGAAGCCAGTCCATGGCATTGACACGATGGGGTCTTGTTCCGTAGGCAGTGGCGATTCAACGGAGTTGTTGTTGGTATTTCTTTGTTTTTAAAGTTGACGAGAACAACTTTGTTTTAGAAAAGTGATTTGAAGGGATTATGCAATGGAAAACAGGGAAGTGTAAAGGAGGACAGAAGTAATGGTTCATTTTGGAGGTTTGTAGGCAGGGAGACCTCAATTAGGGAGGTGTCAGTGGAAAAAGGAAAAAAAAAATTCCACACGAGTCGAAATAACAGATCATGGGACTAGCTGGTACATTTCGGGGTGGAGGCTGTCAAGCGTGGGTGACTGATATTCTGGTGATACCTACAGTTGGTGATTACCTACAGCGTAAAGAAAAGGAAAAAAAACTAGTCTAAGGTTAGTTTTTAACCAATGAGGCTTTGCAAAATACAGACTAAATAAAAAAAAAGGTAATTTATAGTGTAAACAATCTCTTCATTTCAACAATGGTTCTTATGAATATTTGTCTTGAATACTTATATTGGAGGAGATATGATAATTCCAAAACTATAAGCTCTTTCAAAAATGGTCAAACTCAAATGGAAAACTATGTACATCTACGTTCTCTCCATAAATGCCCAGGAATCAGCAGGCTTTTACCTAAAAACATACTAATGAAGTCCCTCACTCCTCTCCTGAGGTCCTTCCCTCAGACAGAACATTTTGCTCCATACTCCTACCTCCATGATACACACATGATCATTTCCGTGGTACCTGATTAGGCGTGGACAATCTCTTTTCATGTGCTCGCCGAGGACCTTCAACACCGAGGCGGAAACTTTTTCTCCTGATGTTCTCCTCTGATTCTGATTTGGACAATTTCTCATCATCTCCCTTTTCCTCTCCACTGGAGAGCTTCTTTTGATTCCTTTTCTTTCTTCTGTTTCTTCTCTCTTTAGCACTTTTAGAGCTCAGTCTGGATGTTTCAGAAGAACTCTCGGAGAGGCCCATTATCCTGCTTCTCCCAATGCTTGTGTATTCAGCGGCCGCCAGTGCTATTGCCTGTTAGACCAAGAGGGCACATCCATGGTGAGTCACTCCAGAGTCTGGGAAGCCCTATCATGGGGCCCCTTTTACCATAACTTTAATTATACTGTGCATATGATCATGTCCCTTATATAGGAAGTAATGTTTTCTTTGCACTATGACTAGAGAGCTTACAAAATACGTATTTATTGCTGCTTCTGCAGTGTACCCCACATTGTGCTTTGGAATTAAACTATTCCATACAATTACACTATAGTAAAGCAAGTTTAAATAGCATCCGTGAACTTCTAAATAATATATGTGAAAGTATTTATTTTAGGTAATTCAGGGACACAATATGCACATAAACCATGAGATGAGATAATCCATTTGTATACCTTGTTCAGGTAATGAACTCAACATTATCAAGAGAATCAAGCACTTCTATAGTTTAATGAAGAATGAATTATTTGAAAATATTAAGTTATTACAGAACATCTCAAGAAAATGAAAGAGACTTTTAGGGGTTCTCTATAAAATTCCTGGGATAGCCCAGTGTTACCTCTTTTATGAAAAATTAAGGTTTTATTATCAAAATAAAACAATCCTTGTAAAAATTTGGAAAACGAAGATATTGTGAATAAAACCCCCAAATTGCTGATAACCTTACATCTCAGAAACAACTGGTGTTAACATTTCCTCTAGTCTTTATATACATAATTTTTAAATTGCATCTTATACTCAGTTTTGTATTTTACAACTTAATCACTGTTACATTAATATCTTTTCCTGTCATAATAGTCTTAAAACACATCATTTTATGGCTGAATAATACTCCAAGACACAGAAATATCATAATCCTCTTAACCATTTCCTGATTTTTTAGAAATTTAAATGATTTTTAATATTATTAAAATACCGCACCAAACATCTTTATCAAAATCTCTCTGCATTACAGACTACTACCCTCCCATCAATAGGTTATATTCCTTGAAGAGATTTAACTAGGTCAAACCATCCAACATGTTTTAAGAGTCTTACCAAATATTTGAAATTTTGGTTCTCTTAACACAAACCTTTTCAAACTTTTCCACTCAAGTACCTTTTTGGAGGGAGAAGTAAGGAGAAATCCTCAAGAATTTGTGACTTAAGGTGGCCACAACCACAAGTACAATTTTCCTTAACATCTCACATTTTCCCTTAAAAATCCTTGCAACATTAACCAAAACTGATGCACATTTTACTTTCTACTTCACAGAGTACCTGTTAAGTTTAACATCAAAATAATGTTTCCTAAACATTTGTGTACAATCATTACTCTGGGGAAATCCATCATATATGTTCAGGACTTTGCATAATACCATACATTTTGCTTACACTGAGGGATGGTGAGTAACAGATTTAGGAGGAGAAGCTTAAAACATGCTCCCTGCTGGAGTGAGCTGATTACGGGGGAAAGTGGGATGGGACAGATGTGAATTCTAACTCAATCCAGAATTGCTTCCCTCAACCAAACCAGAATGAAGATTCAGTTTATATAAAAGAATCCAGGAAGGAAAATCTCCCTGAGGAAGGTCGAGCACAGACCACAAGGCTTCTTTTGTTTCCCTCTGCATTTCTACTTCTAGGGAGATTTTTAAACCAAATAACAATACCTCGGCTTCTTCTTGCTCTTTCTTAAGGTGATCTAACATCTGTTGAAATTCTATCTCTTTCTGCCGAGCTTCTTCGATGTTTGCCTGGTTCTGTTCTTCATAGGCCATGGCAACCACCGCCAGGATCAAGTTGATCAGGTAGAAGGAGCCCAGGAAAATCACCACCACAAAGAAGATCATGTAGGTTTTCCCAGCAGCACGCAGTGTCTAGGGAAGAATGGAAATCGTTCTTTTAATAACACAAAGGTTTTTTTTTTTAAGTCACTTCAACTTGAATGGCATGTTAGGCATAGTAAATCAGACAGTTCTATATAACCTCATGTTATCAAAAATATAAAGGAATAAAATTGTATCTTCATGGAAAACGATCAGTATTAAAATAAACACTTTCAGTACAAAGGATACAGCAATCAATTAAACCTGTACTGAGTATGACTCTTGACTATTAAGCATAATAACCCTGAATTACTCCCCCCCAGTCTAAAAATTACTCAAAAACAAGCTGCTTTACTCAATTTCAAATTATAGGACCAGATAATTTCTATAGTATCTTTTACTGATAAAATTCTATCTATAACAAGAAGTATTAATGCTGATCTATTATGTTAATACATGATAAACAGCTTTATTGTATGAACTGAGGTATTTATCTTATATTTAACATTTACTAAAAATTTTTAAGTGTAATACATGGTAAAAAATTCAAATAGTACAAACATAGTAAATGAAAATTAAGTCTCTTTATCCTATCTCTGATGCCTAGGAACTCAATCTCCTTTCCTATTAGTTTCTGTTGTTACCAATGTCTTCTTTTAAATTCTTAACAGTGGAATTGTTAGGTCAACAGGTGTATTCACTTCAATTTTCAAAGAAATTCCTGTGTTACCATCTCCAGTGGTTCCCAGCAATGTGTGAGAAAGTCTGCCTCCCTGAATTTCAGACAGTGTCTCTCTTTTGATCTACTTTTTGGTCTTCGTCATTCTGACAGGAGAAAAATTGTATGTACCCCTCATTTCAATTTTCAGTAAAGGTATCTTTTTGCATAACTATAAAGTCATATGTATTTCTCTTTTTCCTGTGAAGTAGATTTTTATATAATTTCTGTATCCATTTATAATACTCTCTGAAATTAAACAAAAATTAGGTATAAAGAAGAATCTGTGGCAATTTGAGAAAAATGATTTATTAGTTTTTATAATACAGAATAATCATTTTTGGTCTCCTTCTTCTTGGAGTTGGGCACTGAGAATATATAGGTGAAAAGACAGAGCTCACAGTCCCAAGAGGACCACAATCAAGTTAGAGGAGATGGCTACGTGAATGGGGAGTTACCGTCCAAGAGACGGATGCCATAAACTGAGGAATCTTCAAAAGGACAGGGAAGTGTAGAGGAAGGAGCAACTGAGTTGGGAGAGATAAATTAAGAGAAACGAATTGAGTTTTCAATTCTTATACTAGTTTGCTCAGGCTGCCAAACAAAATGCTATAAATCGAGTAGCTTAAACAACAGAAGTTCATTTTCCCACAGACCTAGAGGAAGGAAGTACAAGATCAAAATGCTGGCTTCTCCTGAGGCCCCTCCCTTGGCTTGGGCACAGCCGCCTTCTCACTGAGTCCTCACTTGGCCTTTTGCATGTGTACCTCTGATGTCTCTCTCACTCCTGTCCTAATGTTTCCTCCTTAAAAGGACGTCAGGTTGGATGAGCACCCACTCTAACGGCCCCATTTAACCTCTTTAAAGGCCCTCACTCCAAATACAGTCATTCTAAGGCACTGGGAGCTAAAGACTTCAACATACAAATTTGGGGGGATATAATTCAGTCCAGAACAACCGTACGTGGGAGTTCACAAAATAAAGCCTGGTGAGCATGGGAGATCCTGGTGTCTGGGGCACTGCATGCAGGGAGGCATGTGTGGAAAGCACAGCACGTGTAGGAGTGATGCACGAGAACATCACAGTACATTTCTTGCTATTACCTAGGACCCCATGGGATGCTATATTCAGAAGTGGGGAGAGAGATCTCGAGTCAAAAAGCCCAGAAAAGATAAG